GGACACCAGTGAGAGAAAGCACTCTCCAGTCCACATTTACCTTTGTACTACGTTTCTGAGAATATACTATTTAACCTTATATCCGAGTCCGTGTTATCTTTTTATGGTTCTACACCATAACAGTAACATAACATTAACTTCGTTGTATTTTCTTTGAACATTAACACCGATGCAGCCTTCTGGACAGAGGGGTCTGAAGACGAGAAAATTTATTATAATGCATTTGATATCCTGGTCCTCCTTAGAGTCTTTGCATAGCTATCTGGCACGGTAAAAAAAGTTGCCGACTCCTGATATAAAGTTTTCTCAAGTCCAAGGTACGCCGTTTTATAGCCAAATATATGACTTGCCTAATAAAATATAACAGTATTTTCACTATAAAATTCGTATTACCCATCATATATTCGTATTACCTAAGAATGTTTCAGGCACATTTTTACTTTTTAATTCAATATAAACGTATAGACTCAAGAATAAACTCGGGTCATATTTACATATAGATTCGTTTACCTGAGTTTGCAATTGAACATATGTTAAGGTTATACTTGAGTCTATGTGTAAGATTTCTTAGGCGTCATACTTGAATATCATATATATGAAGAATATAAATGAAATAAAGTGCCAGGAACAACCTACCTAGGTTTCAACTGAACAGATCTTCAGGGTAAACTGAAAAATATAGATAAAGTATAAACCAACCAAAGTTTACCTACAGGGATAATTATATACAAAAGAATTTTTCGAAATTAAATATTCCAAGACATTTTGATTTGTCGTAAAATCTACCAGTCTAATCTAACTTATGCTTACCTATAGACTCAAGTACGAACTCAAACAATATTTACCTATAGATTCAACTATGAAGTCTAAGAAAATTTACATATAAACTCAAGTATAAACATTACTATTGTTTATTTATAGTCTCAAGTATAACCAATGATTATCAACAGAGTTAAGTACAAAAAAAGCAGTTTTCAACATTAAAAATTCCAGCAGCTAGCTTTTGGAAGTCCATAACGAAATCTGACCAATACTTACCTATAGACTCAAATAAAAACCCAAGCAATATTTATCTATAGATCCATGCATGAAGTCTAATAAAAGTTGCATCTAGACTGAAGTATGAAACTGACAAACGTTTCCTTATAGAAGTAAGTATAATTCAACGAATGTTTACCTACATAGTTAGTATAAAAAAAGCAGTTTTCAACATTAAATAATCCAGTAGGCGTGGATTTGTCGTAAAATCTATGAAATCAATCGGACCAATGTTTACCTATAGTCTCAAGTATAAATCCGACGAAATTTTCTCTACAGAGATAAGTATCAACAAAAACAGTTTTCGACATAAAATTATCCAATCCCACTTTATAAACAATTTAATCTGATGGAATGCAGTGTAATATAAATATCTCTTTTTTATATATAAATACCACTGAATAAAAAGAGAATCATAAATCACAATTTTGCATAAACATAACAAAGATATACACACAAACTCACACACACACGCGCGCACACACTCACAAACGTACACACACACACACACACACACATATATATATATATATATATATATATATACATTCGAGTATAGATCCAATTTATAATCAAATAAAATCGTCCTCATAAAAGTATATATGCGTATATCTATGTGAGTGCGCGCATATATATATATATATGTGTGTGTGTGTGTGTGTGTGTGTGTGCGTTTGTTTGTGTGTGTGTAGAGATAGATAGATAGAGAGAGAGAGAGGGAGGGAGAGAGAGAGAGAGGGAGGGAGAGACATGCAAATTTCCGTGTAAACGACTAACAAGTTGTGGTGGTTCAGTTTGTTATGTAAATTCCTCATGAGTTCGTATATTTTTTTTCTTTTCAGAACATAAATTAAATAAAAATTCTTCGAATGGTTTCCAAGCATTTTCCCCTATACTTTTAGCAATTATTAATAATTATTATTATTTTATTTTACTTTTAGCTAAATATATGCCTTGTTTTAGGCATGTACCTAGAGTCATAGGAATATTTTATTTTCCAGACTCGGTCAGCACATTGAAGCCGTGTTCATAGTTGATATCATTGAGTGTGGACATTTTCTTTTCAACTTTGTTAATAATGCTTCAATTATTTTTAGTCTTTTTGTACATGTGGATGATATCTATTATAAACGAATCTGTTACGTAAGATCTGCCCAAATACACAATATATATATATATATATATATATATATATATATATATATATATATATATATATATATATATATATATTAAAACTCATCCGGGTTCACGTGTCTGGTTGTCCATTTCTATCTATGACACATATTTCAACTTTCGATGGCATTTAATCAAATAATTTGGGAACTTCCGCTCACATAACTACTTAGTTATACGTAGACAAAGTAATGCGTAGAAAAAAATACGAACACATACCCACTTTCATCTACGATATTTAATCAAATGTTTCGCCCACAAAACAATGCGGTAGGCAGGCGCGTACGTGCAAACATACACACACAAACACACGCACAAACATACACACAAACACACGCACACACACACACACACACAATTCGATCGTCCAAGTTCAAACACAACGTACACTTATGACCTGTCAAATCTAAAAATACACACAGCATTGAGGAAAAAATTCGATTTTTCTTGCTTCAACGGAGTTCTATCATTATGTATTCTCTTTTATTCTTGTGTTGGCAGAGCATTTCCCCACATTTCCAAAGTGGAATCTTCTCATTTTAATCGAAATTCGTCTGCTTTTCCCCCCTTTTGTCTGAAAGGCTTTTCGATATTTCTTTCTCCATCCTAATATTTGCGTTTTTTTCATTATTTATTTTTCCCTTTTTTCTCAGAAATCCCTTTCTTTCTTTCTTTCTTTCTTTCTTTCTTCTTCACTTCTTACAGTTTTACCACATTAATATTCCCCCTCACTATGTGTATGTGTGTGGCTGTATATCTATCTATCTATCTATCTATCTATCTATCTATCTATCTATCTATATATATATATATATATATATATATACACTCATATATCCCCAAACACTCACTTTCATATCGTACGCTCTTCTCTCCTGTCATATATATATATATATATATATATATAGATAGATAGATAGATAGATAGATAGATATATAGATATATATATTCACTTTTGCTCACTTACAACTTCTTTCTCGTTTACTCTTCTTTTTTTTCTTTCTTTCTTTCTTTCTTTCTTTCTTTCTTTTTTTCTTTCTTTCTTTCTCGTTTACTGTTCCCGCCCTTTTACTTTACCTCTTCTTTCATTTTCGTTTTCTATCTTCGTTTTTGACCTCCTCTACATCGTCTTCCATTTTCATGAATCTTTTTCCTGCTATTCATTTTGTAATTTATCATCATTTGTTTATTCTCTCTTCATTCTTCATCCTTCACAGTTCATTCCTTTCTTTCTTCTTGTTTCCCATTCGATAACTTTATTTCTTTATTCTTCGCCTTTTAAAGTTTTCATTTTCTAATCTTCTCATTTTAAAATTTCTCTTTCTTTCATTATTTTTATTATTTATTTACTCTTCTTTTTTTTTTATTTTCTATTCATTTTCTCCTTTAAAAAAATAACTCCTCTTTCTTCACATTTTAAATGTTTTCATTTTTTATTCTTCCCATTTTATGATTTACATTTCATTATTCTTCACATTTTTAATTATTTTTTCATTCTTCTTTCTTTCTATTCCGTAAATTTTTATTCTTATTTTTTTCATCTGGAAATGTGTCAATCCACTTTCTTCACATTTTAAATGTTTTCATAATTTATTCTTCACATTTTATAATTTTTATTTCTTCTTTTTTCTTATTCAGTAATTCTTCTCTTTTCTTCTTTTTCACATTTAATTCTTTTAAAAATCCTTTTTCTTCATATTTTAAATTTTATCCTTTATTCTTCCGATTTTATAAGTTCTAATTTCTTTTTTCTTACTATTCTATAAATTTATTCCTCTTTTAAACATTCAATTATTTTTCAATCCTTTCTCTTTGCATCCTACATTTTGTTTCCATTTTCATTTTTTTCTTATTCTATAATTTTAATTATTCTTTTCCGCATTTACAAATATTGTCCAGGACCCTTTCTTTCCTTTTAAAAAAATGCTCATTCTTTTTTCCTTATATTTTTCTTACTTTCCATTCATTCTTTATCATTCTATCTCTGTTTTAAACGGCCATACTTACATTTTCTTTCACTCTGTCTATATTTTCTCTGTATTTAGCGTCGAATATTGCTTTTTTTTTCTTTTAATATTTCACTTTCTATTCTTTTTCCAGCTTTTTCTTTACATTTTTCTAGTTTTTCTCCACGTGACAACTTAACCTTTTTTATCGATCTTCGTCTCTTACATGCCTCCCCTCATCTTCCCAACGATATCGAACGGAGAAAATAAAATAACATACATTTTGTTACCAAAGAAACAATTTTCAGCCGTTTGCCCCAAATTTGCGATCCCCAACGTTCTACCAATTTAACCAGTCTATTCAAAATAGTTCAAACTCCAACAACACATGAGTAACTACTTTATTTTTATGATTATTAACGAAAAGGATGTACGATGTCAATGTCCATGTTGATCAATAGCCACGACTATAGAAAGAGACTTCGGCTTTTGTGAGCGCGTTTTCAGGAATATTAAACGGTCTGCTATTCAGAGGTGGAGTCAACAAATGTAGGACACGAAGCAGTTCGGAGTCTCTTCTAGATACACGTCCTAGAAACAACAGAGATAGGCCCAACCCAAGCGATTATTGCTGTCTATGGAAACGTTTGACGGATTCATTGTTAATAACGAGTCATTTAACGCAAATCAAAATTATTTACCGCGCAACACTGTGAAGGGAAATATCTATCCATTTGCTATACGATTTCATCGCATGGGTGAAAATGACTATTTACTGTTTTCTTGTCCTATATTTTCTTTTTTTATATTCTTATTCGCAAGTTATTGTTTGTTGTTTCCCGGATCTCGTACGATCACCGAAGTTAAGCAACATCGAGCCTGGTCAGTATTTAGATGGGTGAACCCTTGTGAATACCAGGTGCTGTAATTTTTGGATGCGCTGATGGTGTAATTAATAACGGCTCTGAATTGATAATCTAAGAGCTGAGATCCTATTTTAATCAGGTTTGGTACATTCACTTACGCTCAAATACTCTGGCGAAAGGCATGAATCAACTACTATCTACACCTGTGGGTTCATCAGTATCCGTAAATCATTATTATCTACCAAATATTCTCACAATCTAAAAATATGGTCTGTCTTTAACCCTAGAACACTAACCATCAAAGTTACACCACTACTAACCATGGGTATATCATAGCCGATTTTGAAAATATCAAAAAAATATTAAATATAAAACTTTATTTGAAATATTTTTCATGGAGGCACTCCAAACGTTGTACTTTGAGTTAACATTAATAGGAACTAAAAAAAAAATATTTAGGTAATAAAATCAGGTACTGAAAATTGTAATTAAAAATAGGAAAATTTGCGCTGGGTACTATATGGGTACTATATACCCATGGTTAGTTTTCTAGGGATAAATAACCTTTACAAGCCATAAAAACCTAATCGATCAATGAAACAGGAATGTCGTTTAGATTTATTTATATCCTCTGGAATATAAATGTGTAGAAACTACTGTAGCCACAAAGTGAGGGATCAGTATATGTTTGCAATATCGAGTTGATCCCCGCACTCTATATCTAATTATAATTTCTTGTTTTTTGTTGTTGTTCTTTTTTTTTTTGTCAAATTTTTAAAGACTAAAAATCATTTTATGGCTTTAAATAACCTGCAAATAGTCGATAAACCGTAAAAAGTCAATCAATCACTTAATATAATTTCTTTCTCATCCACCTGGAACATTTTTTTCGATCCATATGAGACAATTCAAATATCTTGTTCGTATTATCAGCGAAAATGATCCGGTATACAATTAATTTCAAGAGAAGCCCGTCCTGGGTATGACGATAAACTACATCCCCGTCCTGGGTAAGACGATAAATTACGTCCAACAGCAAGGCCTCTGATCTTTGGTTTTGAGGAGTGTGGAACCACCTCTTAATTACTGGTGTTTCTAGGTCCACCCTGACTTGGGGTGGTAGGGCCTGTTAGTTAGCCCCCAAACTGGGGTTAAAATACGATGTAAGTGTAAAAATAGGTTTTAATACCAGAAATACTTTGTAAAAAAATATTACCAGCAATATATATATTTTTTTAAATAGATATTACCAGTTACACATTTTGGAAGAAAAAATATTACCAGAAATAAACATTTTGCCGGTACTAAATAAACCATTGAGGTTTATATGCCGTAAAACAAACTAAACAAATCAAGAGAAGCACAAACAATGGCAGCTGTGGCAAAAATATAATGTATAAGTAATGACAAAAACATCTGCTTGAAAACAAAGATCATTCTGTACGCCATACGAATTTTGGGCATTAACAGAATATTTTACAGCGGAGAATCCAAACATTAGAATATACAGACTGCATGACAATCCCAAATATTTCCTACGTTGACGGCATAAAAAATGAAATAGTGCGACGCGCCATCAAACCAGAAAACCGTCACACTGGAAACATCGCATAAGCTGTCAGCATAGGAAGAAGAAAATATTGAAAAAGAAAAGTTCTGTCAACATCACTGGGTTGACTGTAAGATCATTCACAGAGCCTCAGTACACAACGGAAAAAAATATGGGTGGGACGGTGGTTTGATGCTCAATTACGCAGCGACCCTGCGATCATACCTGGTCATGGGACTGATAATGATGATGAAGACGACGACAATGAGGAGGACACCGTATTGATGGAAGTTTCAGAAAGAAACATGAAACTTCAAACGGCAACAAAACAAGTTAGTGAAGGAAAGCGAAGATGAAGAACAAGTCATTAATAAAAGGAAAACAGAATTATTTGGGGTGAATAATGGACATACTCAATGTGAGAAAGACATCAGTGAGGTCTATATCTGTCCATCCAATATAAAGTCTCAAGGTCCCCTGAAGGAAGAGAGTCACTCAATGAGCTTGTTGTATTGACGGAAGAGAAGGACGTAAATGCAGATTGTGGGAATATACAGGCTACTTAACGAAGATTTTAGTGATTAGAGAAGTATTCTCTCGGTAGCTTGTTCTATATAGAACGATTCCTGGAAAGAAACTCCAAGTGTGAATTCTTCTTTACTAATGTAATATGAAAGGAATGGCGATAATTCGACCCTGTCTACTTGGCATTGAGTTTCAAGCTGTACAAGTCTGAAGTGAAAGAACGAGTTAAAAGATCTCTTGTAAAAATTTGCCATGTAAATAGCGAGAGAGTAGCAATAGGTATCCGCCATTTTATCTATGGAAAGTAAGCTGTAAGACAGAACCAACTCTAGTCGGAGTCCTGAATAACCATTTACTTTTTCGAGTTTTGAAAAAGAAAATAACCTTGATTGTAAAAGTGGATCTTCCAATCGGTTGTCGTGCAAGAAATAAGATTTAATCGAAAGAAATATCTGATTTATGACGTTTATAATCGTAATTACCGTTTATATTCGAGTGTCCTGCGAAAATTTAAGACTTAGTTTTGAAGTTAATTTTAAAGGGATCGCAACATCTTAGTGGTATAAAATTAGCATATGTACTGCTGGCTCTGGCTACGCCGTTGACCAAATTATACATCCATTCACTGTCGTCAAATGTAAAGCTCAATTTAAAATAAACATAATTATGATAAAACTGATATTTTACTTAACTGTATCCAATAATAATAGGTGTATATTATACATATCAGTATCGTATTATAAAATACACACATAGAGAATACACATCTTTTTCATTGTCTACGTTCATAAGAGGTTTAGCTGTTTCTCGATCAGTTGTTTAAAGGTTGTACCCGTTTAGACAACGAGTATAGCGTTACTAACGATAATTTTATCATTTTTCTTTTTAACTCATTTATCTAGAAGATGGGATAAAGCGAAAGAGCAAAACATGTTAGTCTATTGTAATTTAGTCTCTCTCAAAAATATATATATGAGAAAATCATTTTTATAAGTCAACATTTGAGGGTCGCATGATACGCGAGATCGCGCGTTACTGCGTATATACGGTATTTACTGTGCATTGAGATAGATTTTCAGCGACACCAGATATGTACAGTATCTAGTACAGTACAGCTTAGAAGTGAAAGTACATCGGTTCGAATTTATTCCTGGTAAGATTCCAGCAAAGAAATACTGTTTATATATATATTGCATTGTTGTTCCATGTTTTTACATTTAAAACTAAGTTAATCATAATGATTGACTTGCAATTTCCTATAATATAAACAATAGTTGGCTCCCTGTGCCGCGCCAGGAAATTTTTCTCCCCGGAATTGATCCTTCAGATCTACAAATCAACAACTCGCCCTCGCATGGAGTATTGCTGCCATATATGGTCTGGGGCCCCTTCTGTTTGCCTCGGGGTTCTTGATAAGCTCCAGAAGCGGATATGCAATATAATTGGCCCTGTTCTGGCATCTCGTTTACAGTCGCTCTCTCACAGACGCGTCGTCGCCTCTCTCTGTCTTTTTTATAAATACTTTCATGGTAATTGTTCCGAGGAGCTGCATTCGCTGGTTCCCAGACTTCATGAATTCAAGCGCCCTACGAGGCTGGCATACCGCTCTCACCCTTTCACTGCCGAAACTATTAAATTTAGCCTTCTCTACTACTCTAATAGTTTCATATCTCGCCTGTGGAACTCCCTTCCCTATTCCAGTTTCCCTGAGAGCTATAACCTCCAGCTATTCAAGTGTAATGTTAATCGACATCTCCAGTTGCCTTGATCTATCCACTATCCTTCTCATCCTTTCCTCTATCACTCCTATCTGATCTTGCTCCAAATTTTCTGTAACTCCTTGCGTCCTAGTGGCTTCCCGCCTTGCTTGGGGTGAAACGCTTGAAAAAAAATACCGAATGCATTAAGTGCTGTCTTATACTTGTTCTATATTTCATATGTTTAACTATGAGTTATAGATTAAAATGGCGATAGAACACGGATCGGAATCTGAAAGGATGATAAGATAAAGAACAAATAGAAAATGTTTATCAATCTAATACGTTTCTCTTTTACGAAAGCTTCGTCAAAGATTGAGAGAAAAGAGAACAAAAAGACAGGACAGTTCCTTCAATTTTTTTTAGATCGATTCTCATTTGTCCGTCATGAATCACGTGCTAATGCACGTGACACATGTCATTAATTCTATATGTTTGCAAGTTTGAAAAATCCTAAGATATCTACACAGGCATCGGATGGTATTGTGTATTCGTAATTGTCTATATGTGTCTATCTAGTAAGAAGAATTTTTTTTTTTTCACTTTTTTCCTGATCTGTCGGCTTACCCGGGCGGTATTCTTTTAATCCTGGGATGTTTTTATACGTTCACTTTTTATTAGATAAATATAAGTTAGATTCCTTAAAAATGGATTTAAACGAGGTTGGCGATATAATATAATATTTTAATAGTTGGTAAAAAAATATTATTAAATTTTCAATGTATTTTCTCCTTAAAAAGTATGTTCTTTTATTAACTTGGGTGGCATTAATAAGAACAATGCTTGTCGTAACTTTAATTTTACCAATGTTGCCCTAAGTTTAAAAACAAAAGTATGATAAAGGCTGTAAGCGTGTAATTTCAATAATATTAGAAGTTGCGTAGTAGATATCTAACTACCAAACATAGAATGTAACACTTCAGCAATAGATGGATTCATTTCTGACTTTATTCTGGAAAAGTCTATGTTCTTGATCTTGCTTTGAAATCTGATTTCATATTCTTAATATTTCCTTTTAAATTCCACACAAAGCAAACGATAATGTCTCCATGATGATGAGAAGACTTTCGTTGGGAAAAAGAACATTAAAGGAAGAGGTTTCAGGAGAAAAGAATGACGATTGTCGTTACATTTATATTTTTGAATATTGTACAGTAATCCGGGATAGAGTTCAACAAATAAGAAGTGCGAGAAAAGAAATTATTAGAATAGAATTTACACTTACATCTAA